ACAGCTTTTTAGGGATCGACATATGAATTTTCTTGACTCGTTAGATTGAATTTGTTTGTGACGATGATACCTCGGACTAAAGCTTAGCATCTTTTCATCGCAATCAAAGGAGACTGCCTCGGAAACAGCGTCAGCATGAATGTTCCAGTAAATTTCATCGACAGCTGGTCAAGAGGAATCCGCCGTCGTCTTCTGGTGAAATGGACCTTCAAATATCTTCACTAAAAACTTTCACTCGAAATGGAAGTAAGCACAACAATTATGTGCATAATCATGTCTATTCAAGGAGCTATTCAAGATCTGATACAAACTCTGGAGGAACATCCGTAGATAATACAAGGAATAGGGATGAGTTTACCTTCCATTATTAGACTTATTAAACTATCCATGAGTACCACATATTTTACCTTTGATGTTAAGTTATTCTAAAAACACAAGGATTAGCGATGGGATCTTGCCTGTATTTCCTACAAGAAGCAATACTAACATCCATGCATGATTTTTTTGCCATCTGGCCTCATGATAAGTACAATTTAGATAGTTTCCTATTTTCACTCAACCAGCGTGAAAGGAACATTAGGTTCACGATGGAAATTGAAGAGAATTAGTCCTTACCTTTTCTGGATGTTCTCATCATTACAGAAGAGGGTAGGTTACGAAAAGATGTTTATAGGAAGCCAACCTATGTTGGATCTCTACTTAATTTTCTTTCCAACCATAGTTACAAGAATAAGGTTGGCATTTTGAAATCAATTATTCTTAAAAGTATGAGGCTAGCGGATAGCAAACATTTGACTAAAGAGTTGCAACGGCTGAGAAATATATTCCTGGAAAATAATTATCCTTAAGGCCTCATTGATAATAATATCTCTTTACTAAGGAATAAATTTTCAGACGGAAACTATTTAGTCAAAGAGAGACAGATTGAGACATTTTCCCATGTCCTTATTTTATCGTCTCAAAAAAGATAGGCGAATTAATGAAAAATTGGGGCATAAAAACAGTACTCAAAGAAACCCTAACACTTTCTTCTGTTATGCCATCTTTTAGAGAGAAATATGACCCCTTATGGAGATACGGCTGCTACAAGATTGTTTGCTCATGTGGCCGATGTTATGTTGGTGAGACATGCCGACCTATTCGACAAAGTTTGGGAGAACACAAATATGCTTGTAAAGGAAGCTGGATCCAACGGTCAGAAGTGGCCTAACAGAAAATGGCAGAAACTGGACATGAGATAGAATGGTCTCAAAGTAATAAGTTTGCTGTTGAGATCGACCTACGAATCTCTTCTTCGTGTACTTTCATACCAAATGAAAGTGTCCCCAACAATATTATCTCAGGAGATTTATCGTAACCCAGCTATTCCTCGTATCTACACATTGAACATGATCAAGACGCCTAAAACATAGCTGGACATGGTCACGAAAGTACGGTCACTAGGTCAGTTTTCCTCGACAGTCG